GAGGAGGGAGGGAAGCACGGGGAGCAGGAGGAAGAGGAGGCAGATGAGGAGGAGGAGGAGGAGGAGGAGGAGGAGGAGGAGGAGTGAATGAGAGGGGATTGGCTCTTACGAGGAACAGGAGGACCAGGGCGTCAAGATGCTTCCTTCCTCTGGCATATCTCTGCATGACCTTAATATTCTCACGGTAAGTAGATCTCCTCCCCCATTCCCTCTCTCCCTCTCCCTCTCCCTCTCTTTCTCTCTCTTTCTCTCTCTTTCTCTCTCGTTCTCTCTCTTTCTCTCTCTCTCTTTCTCTCTCTCTCCCCTCTTCTCCCTCTCCCTCTCCCTCTCTCTTTCTCTCTCCCTCTCCCTCTCCCTCTCTTTCTCTCTCTTTCTCTCTCTTTCTCTCTCTTTCTCTCTCTTTCTCTCTCTTTCTCTCTCTCTCCCTTCCTCTCCCTCTGCTTCGCCTCGCCCTCTCACCCCCTCTCTCTCCTCTCTCTCATCCTCCCCTTTCTTATCATTTTCCTATTTCCCCTCCTGTTCGTTACTTCTCTTGCTTCTTGCTATACCCTCCAGCCCTTCTCCTTCTCTTTCTCTTCCTCTCCTCGTCCTGCTCCTCGTCCTCCCTCTCTCTCGCCCTTCCTCCCTCCTTGCTGCTGCTGCTGCTGCTGCTGCTGCTTCTCCTCCTCCTCCCGCTCCTGGTCCTCCTCCTGGCTCGATCATTCTGCATCCTGTCTTCTCTGGAATGTTTTGGTTACTCATGGTAATGCAGGAGGCAGCAAAACAGAAGCCGTTGCTCAGAAACCGACAGGCATACATGCCCCCTCCTCCCCTCAGCGTCGTAGCTTCTTCCCCTGCTCCTCCTTCTCCTCCTTCTCCTCCTTCCTCTTTTCCATCAAGCTATGCTCTTCGGAGGTTGCAAGGTAATTCGCTATTAGTCTCCTCCTCCTCCTCCTCCTCCTCCTCCTCCTCCTTGTTTTCTTCTTCTTCGTCTATTCATTTGGATCTTTCCAGCTCAAGTCAAGCTCTTCCGGAAGAAACAGAAGCATTCCTCTTCCTCTTCCTCCTCCTCTTCCTCCTCCCCTCCTTCACTTCCTCCTAATCGTCCTGATCTCCATGAGAGGCACGGGGTGAGCATACCAACAAACGAGCGATGAAGTCTGACTGAACTCAGGAGATAAATCGAAGGAGAAGAGAGGGAGAGGCGAGAGACGGAGAGATGGGAGGAGCACGAGGAGGAACAGGAGCAGCGGCAGCGGCAGCAGCAGGAGCAGCAGGAGCAGCAGCGGCAGCAGCAGCAGGAAGTATCGTTTCCTGGTCTCCTCCTTCGACCTTCGTCCTTCTCCGAGACGTCAGAGCTTGACCGGCTCATGCTCCAGCTGACGGGAGAAGCAGGAGCATGCCAACGACGACTCTGCTGACTTCGAGAGCATGATAGGGATGCGAAGATGGCGGGTGAGGAGAGGAGGAGGTGGAGGCGGAGCGACAAGGGAAGGAGCGAGGGGAGGGAGCGAGGGAGGCGGGAAGGGAGGAGAGGGCAAGGAGGGAGGGAGGGAGGGAGGGAGGGAGCGAGGGAGGGAGCGAGGGAACGTCAAGAGGAGGAGCGTGATTATTGTTTATTCTGGCCTCTTCTCCTCAGTTCGACCATCATCGCGTCACTTCCTTGCAGTCACAAACGTTTGCCCAGATGAGCCAAGTAAATCTCCTTCCTCCTCCTCCTCCTCCTCCTCCTCCTCCTCGGCCCTGCTCCTGCTGCTCCTGCTCCTGTTCCTGCTCCTGCTCCTGCTCCTGCTCCTCTTCAGTTCTTGTGCAAGCACCTCCCCGTTTTCTCCTCCGCTATCATCATTTCTTCTTTTCTCTCCTATCTTCATCCTCCTCCACTTTCTCAGTCTCCTCCTCCTCTTACTCACTTTGTCTTCAGACCTGCTGTAAACTGCTCTCCTCGCCTTCTCTTCCATGCACGTCTCATTCCCTGCGTGGGACCCGTCCTCCAAGCTTGCTCAGGTTCCTTCCCTCGTGACCTCTTCACCCCCCTCCTTACCTCTCCCCTCCTCGGAGACTTTTTCCCGTTCTCGTTCTTGTTCCACGTCCTCTCTTCTCCTCTCCCTTCCCCTCATCTCATCTTCTCATCGTTCCATCAGAGAGTTCGAGACTTTGTCGCCAACGGAAACACTTTGATCCTCGCGGGTAGAACGCTCAGCAAAGAATTCCTCAACAGGTCCTTCCTCTTCCTCCTCGCCCTGCTCGTTGTCCTCCTACTGGTCCTCCTTGCTCTCCTCCTTCCCCTGCCTCTGACCACTTTCTTCTCCCACTTCCCTCCTCCCGCCACTTGCTCTTCTCTATTCCCTTCTTGCTCACGTTGACATCTCAGATATTTCTACATGCACATCCGAGAGGTTACGGGAGGATACAATCATGGGCCGTGGTAGGAAGAGGACCAGGAGGCAAAGGAATGAGCTCATTTTGACTCCTCCTCCTCCTCCTCCTCCTCCTCCTCCTCCTCCTCCTCCTCCTCCTCCTCCTTCAGGTACAAGGCGATGGGCATCGACTCACAATTTGAGTATTCTCCACGGGTAAGAGAGTGAGAGAGATGCGAGAAGCGAAGCAATCGAGGACAGCAGAAAGGAGCAGGAGCAGAAGGAGATGGTGGTGGAGAAGCATCATCATCATCATCATCATCATCATCATCATCAGCAGCAGCACCACCACCACCACCACCACCACCACCGCCACCGCCACCGCCACCGCCACCACCACCACCACCACCAC